AGAGGCACATTCTTCACAAGTATCACTTTATGTCCCACAGTCCAGTCCAATCCCTGTCTGAAGAGTTGGCCTCGGAAATTGTTTTAGTTCTGGGGTGATGGAGAGACCAGGGGCCAAGCTTTCCGTGACGCCTCCAGGCTTAGTCAGACCATCAAGTCTGGTCTTCTTACTAGAATTTGAGTTCTGCATCCCATCGTTCTACTGTTCCATCAGGGACCCACTGTTGTGTTCCCTGTCAGGACTTTCACTGGTGGTAGCCGGGCACCATGTAGTTCTTCTGGTCTCAGGCTGATGAAGTCTCTGGTTTATGTGGCCCATTCTGTCTCTTGGGCCAATACTTTCCTTTGGTGTTCTTCATTCTCCTTTACTCCAAGTGGTTGGGACCAATTGATGCCTCTTCGATGGCCCCTTGCAAGCTTTGAAGACCCCAGACACCACTCACCTAAGTAGGATGCAGAACATTTTCTTAATAAGCTTTGTTATGCCAAATGACATAGATGTCCCCTGAAAGCATGGTTCCCAGACCGCTACCTCTGCTACTCTGTTCCTCAGTGTTTGATTGTGTTCACGAAACTTCTTAGCTTTGGTTTAGTCCAGTTGTGCTGACTTCCCCTGTAGTGTGTGCTGTCCTTCCCTTCACCTAAGATGATTCTTATCTACTATCTAGTTAGTGAATAACCCTCACCCTCCCTCACCACCCCGTAACCATCAAAAAATGTTTTCTTCTGTGTTTAAACCTTTTCTTGAGTTCTTAGAATAGTGGTCTTATACAGTATTTGTCCTTCTGTGACTGACTAAATTCACTCAGCATAATAAGTTCTAGCTTCCACCAAGTTATACGATGTTTCACAGCTTCATCATTGTTCTTTATCGTTGCATAATATTCCATTGTGTGGATATACCATAGTTTGTTTATCCATTCGTCTATCGATGGGCACTTAGGTAACTTCCGTCTTTTGGCTATTGTGGACAGTACTGCGATGAACATCGGTGTGCATATATCTATTCGTGTGATGGCTCTTGTTTCTCTAGGATATATTCCAAGGAGCAGGACAGCTGGATCATACGGTTCTTCTATTTCTAGCTTTTTAAGGAAACAACAAATCGATTTACAAGGTGGTTGTACCATTTTACATTCCCACCAACAGTATATAAGTGTTCCAGTCTCTCCACAACCTCTCCAGCATTTGTTATTTTGTGTTTTTTGGATTAATGCTAGCCTTGTTGGGGTGAGATGTTATCTTATTGTAGTTTCGATCTGCATTTCTCTGATGGCTAATGAT